TCGAACAGGTCGTCGATGCGAGGCAACGGATAACGATTCTTCACTGTGGCTTTGTTCAACTGCCTGTAGTCGATGCAAAGTCTCATGGATCCATCTTTCTTCCGAACAAATAACACCGGTGCTCCCCATGGGGAAACGCTAGGTCGGATGAATCCCTTTTCCAGTAGCTCTTGCAACTGAGCCTTCAACTCCTTCATCTCGGCAGGTGCTATACGATACGGTGTAGCAGATATGGGTTCCATACCCGGAATGAGATTGATCGAGAATTCTACCTCTCTCGGCGGAGGTAAACCAGGTAGGTCTTCGGGAAAGACATCGGGGAAGTCGCAAACCGTACGAATGTCCTGCTGACGTGGTGATTCTTTTCGCATATCCTGAACGTGACACAGGAACATCTCGCACTTCTTGCGAATCAAGCGCCTCGCGCTCAAGGACGATATGAACTCGGGAGCCTTGGGGAACACTTCCCCGGAGAGTGATACGTCGCTACCGTCTTCGGCTCTCAGCCGTACGGTCCGACAACTGCAGTCGACCACTGCTCTATGCTCGGTGAGCCAATCCATACCAAGGATAATGTCAAACTCCTTGTGTGGTAGCTCTATCAAATCTGCAGGGAATTGCTTTCCTTGCACGGACAACGGACATCTATGATAAATGTGATGAAGACGCATGCTATGTCCTAGAGGATTCGATACAACGGTAGGTATCTCAAGGTCACTCCTCACAATCACAGAATTAGCAGGCATGCCAACACAGATATAGGAGAGCGTAGAACCCGGATCGATCAAGGCATGCATAACCGAATCAAATAGTACGAACGTACCCAAGATAACATCGGGACTAGGATCTGTGCGCCCATGCATGGCGTAGGTACGCGCTGGTGCCCGGCCTAAGTGCTGCGGACGTGCTCTCTGCTGATTATTTGCGGCCGTAGACTGCTGACTCCGTGCTGGATGTGATGCGGCAGGCTGATCCGGAGCTCTAGGTAAAACAGGCTCGCTGCTAGGGTTTGTCGGGCAATGCCTCCTGAAATGCCCTGGCTGACCACAACCCAAACATAAGCCTTGGGCGAGCCAACACTCGCCCGGGTGATGCCTACCACAATGTACACATTGCGGGTGGCTCCTCG